TATTTAGTGACTTAATGTAAATTAGATGAGTCATTGCAATGTCTTCTCAAATACAAAGAAAATTTTCGGTGTACAATCACAGTAACTTTTCGAATGGCTAATTTCCGATTTATAGAAAATAGTTATAATGGCTATCCATGACGTGAGAGAGAGAGAGAGAGAGAGAGAGAGAGAGAGAAAGTTACAATTTACAATTCATTAAATAGTAATTCCTGTCTGAACATATTCGTTTAATGACTTTATGGCTCTCGTCTTTTCTGATATTAATTCTTTTTTTTTAGGTTTTAAACAATATTGAACGATTTACATAACTATTACACATAAATCACGTGAATTCGCGGGACATTGCGACTCTGATTGCATATCATGTTCAGTAATTTGGAAACAGGTTTTTATCTCTCGTCACTCCAAGTCGATCGCGACCATTCAGCCGGATGAAAGAGCAAATACCGCCGAGCAGGCATACATAATGGTGTAATGACGAGATACGCCCGCGCACGGAGTGCGTGCGTGCGTAATTTGATTTACGTTATCGCCGATATTTATCGAAGAGGTTGTTGACTCTGCGAACGTAATTCTTGGCCGGCCGTGAGATTAGACGACACTCGACTTCGTCGAGACAAAATTGCGATACAATTTCGCCGTCTGCGTGCCATTATATTTGTCTCGCGATGTGTAAATCGGTAGGTATATTTGAAACGCGCTCTCCGCGAGTGAGAGCAGAGAAACAACTTTCGCTCTTTTGTGTGTGTGTGTGTGTGTGTGTGTGTGTGTGTGTGTGTGTGTGTGTGTGTGTATGTGTGTGTGTGAGATATTTGATCGATCAGTATTCTTTTTAATAACAGTTTTTCTTCGAGTATAGATTAAGCAGTGATAGCAGAATGATATTAGAATGTCAATGATATTAGAATGTTAAAACTTAATATAAAAATCATTATTATTAGAAATTAAATCGATGAGAATAAATCAAACAATAAAATTTTATTTTCAATCGAAGCGGATCTTGATGCTTAATAATATTCATATACAAATTTGCAAATTCAGTGCTATAAACTGTAATTTAATTTGTCGGACTTATACACGCTTCCATCAATATTAACTTTAATCTCGATTTAAATTTTATCTTTTTTTAATTCTTAAAAATTAGAAAAAGAAGAGTAAGTTGAACTAAGATTAAAATTAATCTTCATTGATGGAAACGGGTATTAAAACGTAATTATAAAGAAGTAACATCACAAAAAATTATATTCGTCAATTTGATAATGATCTTACTAAGCATCTTAAAATCGCAAAGAATAAAAAAACATATAAAAATTTATAATACGGACTACTATCTGAAAGCGCTACTTTTTATTACTTTATTAATATATGAGGAATATTAATTATTTATTCGAACATTGCACAGCAATTCCTTTTTATTTTAAGTTATTAATTTATTCATTAATATGCTAAATTGAATATTTCGCGATTTTTGCTTACAAATTATCTTTTATTCTTCGTAAGTACACTTAAAGATGCCGTCCTTATATATAATCGACAAACGGTTATGAGAACTTAATTAACGAAGGCGGAAGCGATCGATATTTGAAATTTACCTCACGTCATATTACATAATCGCCACATGTCTTAAAAAACGAATTCACCAACAATCACGGCCTGACGCAATCAACCAATCGGAAATATATAGTCTCGACTTCGCGCTCATTTGCGCGCCAATATCTTCTCCGACGATCACGGATCGTGAATAGTCCCTCCAAAAACTTGTATTAAGATTTGCGTATAACGGAAATTTTTCACATTAAGTATGTATAGTATGTTTCTGTTGAAGTTACATTGAAATTTTGCGTGCCAAGTACTCATCGGACAATAACAATAATTATATTCGCTATCGATGGAATTATCGACTATTTCTAATCGAGATGACTATGCCATTCTTAAACGACCTCTAATATTCCCTCATGTTTGTGTTGTTACCCTTACAAGTTCTTTCGCAAGTTTGCAAAGTTGTTGATATATATATATATATAAGAAACCTGAATTATAAGTATACGATTGAAAGCAGATTGTAAAATTACTTGAAAATATTGAAAATAGTTTATATTTTATTCAGTATCGCTTTTGATTTCATAAAAATAATATTCCATAAAAAAATCATTTCTATTTAAAACGCGCTTAGCCGTTTTTCTCTTTCAAGAAGTGACCTTTCTAAACGTAAAGCACAAATAATAATTTTAAATTACAGCTCACGCATAAACAATGTATATAATCTACTAACGAAATATTAAGATCGCAAATTAACATCTGTTAGCGATCAATAAGAAATATAGGCTATATGGTTCTCAATTTTACCTCGGACTATCACCGTTCTTCTCTTCAATCTCCAGACGCTCCATCTCCTTCTGCAGCATACCGCCTTCCGCGAATTTATCCAGAGACATATTTACGATAAAAACTGTCGCAGAACTCGCGCACAAACGTAAAGATTACGCGTTTACACTTGTCTCCTTCTATATATATATATATATATGTGTATATATAT